GGGTACGGCTTGTAATGTGGTTGCCAAAGAAACAGGATTACAGGCTCAAAGGGGTTAACTACAATACATAACAATTAGGTGGGTAAAAGAAAAGCATATAACTGGCTCAACAAAGAAACGCCTATATCACTTCCAAAACTAAACAAAACTACTATTTCGCTTTGCAAACACACGGGGCAAGTTCTAGACATCAAATGCAATGCACAGAATAACACACAAACCTCACACACATATGGCATATAACTCATTCAGGATTGGACTCATCAAGACACTCTAGTCAAAGCAGTTAAGCAAATTTAAGATCATACGATTTAAGGTACTTATACAAGAGTCAAAAACTGAGCCTAAGCGTCACAACCAAAGTACTCACTATTCTCAAGGCATAACAAAGTCAAGAAATATTGCTTCAATTCAATTCATCTCACAATAGATCCTACTCAAAAAAAATAAAACTACCTATACCTGGTTCAAACAAAACCCTTGGAAAAGAATCACGGCACAAAGAAAAACCAAGGGGGAATTGCTACACTACCTACAAAGAAAATTTTTTTGTCCTTTTTATTTAGACTTAAATACCTCAACAAAACTATCTAGGAGATCCATCGTTGGGAAGAGTCCAATTTTTCTACTTTTTGTTTCTTCATTTTTTTTTTGATTTTTCACAACTACTAAAATAGTACACAACTACAAAATCAAAAATAAGAAGTTAACATATTTCTACATCCTACTACTAATTATCTAGATAATTCTCCCACCCCACACTTAAAAGAGTGCAGTATCCCCAATGCACAAATAAAGTAAAATAATAATGAGGGTGGACAAGAAACTCCCTGAAAGGCTAAAGGCCGAAGCAATAGCGGCTCATGGCTACTCAGATTTCCCCCAGGCATGGTCCTTTGTGTAGCACCCCACACTTAGTTCTCACAATCTAACTCGCTTTTGCACTCTTCCAATGGCTTTTTTTCTTATTCTCATAATCCTACAAAACAAAAACAAACGCTACAAAAATAATAAGATAACAATAAAAATAAAAGAAAGCATTAAAGATGGGTTGCTTCCCAACAAGCGCCTGATTTAACGTCGTGGCACGACACAGAATCTCGTCTAACCATTGGCAAGTAACACCTTAAACTTCTGACGATCAAAGTCACCTCCATAATAGTTCTTTACTCTTTGTCCGTTCACTAATAACGTTCTCTCGCCACCTAAGACGCGCAACTCAATTGCACCATATGGAGTGACTCTTACTACCTCAAACGGGCCCGACCATCTCTATTTGAGCTTCCCCGGAAAGAGTCTCAACCTCGAATTGAACAAGAGAACCAATTGGCGAACTCGCGATGCTGAATATGCTTATCATGCCAGCGCTTGGTCTTTTTTTTATATAACTTGGCATTTTCATACGCATACAAGAGAAACTCATCAAGCTCGTTCAAATACATCAATCGCTTTCTACCCGCTAAGTCTGCATCAAAGTTCAGCTTCTTTATTGCCCAATAAGCCTTGTGCTCAAGTTCCACCGGTAATTGGCATGCTTTCCCATAACCCCCCTATAAGGGGAGGTTCCGATTGGAGTTTTGTAGGCGGTCCGGTATGCCCATAGAGCATCATCAAGCTTTGCAGCCCAATCTTTCCTACTTGCACTAACCATCTTCTCCAGAATTTGCTTTATCTCTCTATTTGACACTTCAACTTGTCCACTAGTCTAATGATGGTAAGCGGTCGCAACCTTATGTTTGACCCCATATTTCGCTAAGACATTGTCCAATAGCTTGTTACAGAAATGGGTGCCATCATCACTAATCATCACTCTTGGAGTACCGAACCTTGTAAAGATATGTTTTTTCACAAACTTGACCACAACCTTGGCATCATTGGTAGGAAGAGATATGGCCTCCACCCACTTCGACACATAGTCAACGGCCACCAAAATGTACTTATACCTACTGGACGAGGGAAACAGACCCATAATACCATGCAATGGCATCTCATGCCTTTTCGTAATTGTTCATGTTCTCTGGCACCTATCACATCTCCTCACGAACTCATGGACGTCTTTAAACACCCTAGGCCAATAGAAACCCGATTGCAATACCTTAGCTGCTGTTTTGTCACCTGCATGATGACCACCATAACGCGATGCATGGCATTCATATAAGATAACATTTATTTCAGATTCGGGCACACATCTTCTCATTAGCTTATCAATACACGATTTGAACAGGAATGGCTCATCCCACACATATGACCTCACATCTCGCAAGAACTTCTTTTTAGCATAAGGTTCAAGATCAGGTGGCATCTCTCCACTTCCCAGATAGTTCACAAAATCTGCATACCATGGCACCTCCCCAGCAGTAACGGCCAATAATTGCTCATCCGGGAATATTTCCTTGATGACATCTCCCTTAGCCACATGATTCCGAGTTTCTAACCTGAATAAGTGATCAGCCACTTGATTCTTTATTCCTTTACGGTCTCGGATCTCCAAATCCAATTCCTGCAAGAGTAAAACCCAACGGATTAGCCTTGGTTTGGTATCTTTCTTTTCAAACAAATACATGATGGTTGCATGGTCTGTGTAGACGATGACTTTGGTGCCAATCAAATAGGCCCGAAATTTATCGAACGCCCACATTACAATAAGCAACTCCTTTTCTGTTACAGTATAATTTATTTAAGCGGGAGTGAGAGTCTTGCTTGTGTAGTAAATAGAGTGAAATATTTTTCTCCTCCTATGGCCCAATACGGCCCCAATTGCACCATCACTAGCGTTACACATCAGCTCAAATGGATCGTTCTAGTCAGGAGCCACTATGATTGGTGCACTCACTAACTTCTTTTTCAGCTCCTCGAATACTTTCAGACAAGCATCTTCAAACTTGAACGACATATCCTTCTCTAACAACTTGCACAAAGGAGAGGAAAATTTTGAGAAATCCTTTATAAATCGGCGATAAAAACCTGCATGTCCCAGAAAACTCCTAACTCCTTTCACTGAAATTGGTGGTGGCAACTTTTCAATTGCTTCCACCTTAGCCTTGTCAACTTCCAGTCCATCTTTGGACATCTTGTGTCCCAGCATTATACCTTCACGTACCGTAAAATGGCACTTTTCCCAATTCAGTACCAGATTAGTCTCCTCGCACATGGAAAGCACTTTAGCAAGATTGGTTAAGCATTCATCAAAAGATGGATCAAACACAGAAAAATCATCCATAAAAACCTCCACAAACCGTTCCACCATATCGGTGAAAATAGCCATCATTCACCTTTGAAAAGTCACAGGTGCATTACACAACCCGAATGACATTCTCTTAAATGCATAAATGCCATAAGGGCATGTAAAAGTGGTCTTTTCTTGATATTCCGGGGCAATAGAAATCTGATTATACCCTGAATAGCCGTCAAGAAAACAATAGTATTCCTATCCGGCTAACCTGTCATGCATTTGATCAATGAAGGGGAGAAGGGAGTGATCTTTTCATGTAGCATTATTCAACTTCCTATAGTCTATGTATATTCGCCAACCAGTCACAGTCCTAGATGGGATTAATTCATTTTGTTCATTTACTACAATAGTCATATCCCCCCTTTTTAGGTACACATTGAACAATGCTTACACACTTGCTATCGGAGATAGGAAATACTTAACCTGCGTCAAGCCACTTAATTACTTCTTTTCTTACCACATCTTTCATGATTGGATTTAGGCGGCGTTGATGCTCCACGCTAGGCTTGTGTCCCTCCTCCATGAGTATTTTGTGCATGCAGAATGCAGGGCTAATACCTTTTATGTCATACATTATCCAACCAATGGCATGTTTGTGCTCCCTCAGCACCCTTAAGAGCTTCTCTTCCTGCAATTTAGATAAATAAGAAGAAACAATCACAGGTAAAGTGTTAGAATTTCCCAAATATGCATAATAAAGATGAGATGGTAAGGGTTTAAGTTCCAATTTTGGGTCCTCCTCAACTGAGGGTTTAGGAGGCGAGACGATTGGCCTATCCAGAGGCTCAAATTGGGTTCTTTCTCTTATGTATTCGCACGATGCATCCAGAATGTGCAACATCTCCTCAACCTCTTCTTTAAGTTCCAAGTGATTGAACAACGTTAATGACTTTTCTAGTGCCTCTTCTTTAAACGCCCTTGGCTCTACAGCTAGTTCATTTATCTCCACCACCAAAATCATGGCCAGGTCCTCGTAATGACGAGGCAACTGAATGGCTCGATATACATTGAAGACTGCTTCTTCATTGTCCACCATCAGGATCATTTTACCTTCTCAGATTTTGATAATTGCATCTCCAGTGGCCAAGAGAGGTCGTCCCAATATGATAGAAACTAACTCATCAACCAAGTAATCTAGGATGATAAAATCTGCAGGAAAAATAAACTTCCCAATCTGTAGCAAGACGTCCTCAATTACCCCCTCAGGATAAACATAATATCTATCAGCTAACTGTAGAATCATCGTGGTGGGCCTTGGAGCTCCTAAGCCCAATTGTTTGAACACTATAACGGAATCAGATTGATACTTATACCCAAATCACACAAGGCTCTACCCACATCAACTTCACCAATCCTCACGGGGATGGTAAAACTACCCGGATCCTTAAACTTTTGTGGAAGCTTATGTTGAATCCTGGAAGTGCACTCCTTAGTAAGTGCTACGGTCTCAAACTCAGTTAACCTCCTTTTATTTGCCACTATGTCCTTAATATATTTTGCATATTTTGGGACCTCACGGAGCATGTCCATCAAAGGGATGTTCAAATGTGTCTACTTCAACATATCTAGGAATTTGTAAAACATGTAGTCATCATTCTTCTTTCTCAATCTTTGAGGAAAAGGGGTGGCACCCTCTCTGATTTTTGCTGAGGCTCTGTTTTGTTTCTCTTATCTACCTCTACAGGTTTTGGCACTCTTTTTTCTTCAAGCCCAGATTGCTCCTTTTTCTTCTTAGGCACTTCTACCAACTCTCTCCCATTTCTCAATGTCACTGCATTGACTTGAGGATTTTTCTCTGTATTACTTGGGAGAGCTCCAACAGGTCTAGTATTCTGAAGTTAGCCATCTGCCCAAACTGCCTCTCTGGATTTCTAAACTTTGTGCGCAATTGTTGATTCTCAGCCCTGACTTGTTGACTCTCTGCCCTGGCTTGTTGATTCTCTATCAAGAGCTTTTTCATCATGTCAGGTAGACTCTCCTCTGCTTTCTGTGGTGGTTGAGATGGATGATTGTAATTCACTTGAGGCCTGATATTCTGATTTCCACCCCAAGAGAAGTTAGGATGATTCGTCCAGTTTGAATTGTATGTGTTACCATATTGAGCATTTTGATTCATCGGCCCTCTAGCTTGTTGCCCCACGCAGTAGATGGATTCAGGATTCACGGGGCTTATGTCACTTGTGTGACCTTCACCATATAAGTCCCAGCAAGTAGACATATGTTGCACATGTTGCATCTGTTGTGTGTGGTGCATTGTCATTTTATTCATCGGATTTGCTAATCTCGCTATATGTGCCCTCATTGCTGAGAAATCATCAAGATCGATCACACCTGCTGCCTTTTGTTTAAGTGCTCTTTGTGCTTTCCCATCTCCTTGCCAATTATTATCATTAGCAGTGAAATTGTTTAGCAGGATCTGGATCTCACTATACGGTCTTGACATGCAACTACCCCCACATGCTGAGTCAAGATTCATTTTTGATGCCTCGTCCAACCCATCAACGAAAGTGTGACCTAATACCTCATCAGTCTGACAATGGTGTGGGTAGTCTCTGAGTAGCCAGTTGTATCTTTCTCAAGCTTGTCGAAGAGTCTCACCATCTCGTTGTTGAAACCCAAGAATCTGGCTCCTCTGTACTTTGTCTTCTTTGTGGGAAGAAACTTAATTAAGAATTTCCTAGCTAGATCATCCCAATTGTGGATTGAGTTCGCGGTCTCCTTTTGTAACCATTCCTTAGCTTCTCCCATCAGTGAAAAGGGAAATAATGTCAGTCTGACATAGTCCTTGGAAACGTTCGGATAATTATAAGTGTCTGTAATTTTCAGGAAGTTCTGAATGTGCCTCTGCGGGTCCTCATGAGATAAGCTAACATATTGCCCTGTGGATTGAATCAGCTATACTATGTACTGTTTAAGTTCAAAGTGACCCGTGATATCAGGCTTCACAATCGCCTGAGTCATAAGAGCCAGATTGGGCCTTGCAGCTTCTATCACCGGACGCTCTTCATTACCTGCCATCTCTATTGGTTGTGGTTTAACTACGATGTCCAACTCTCTTTCAATTCTAGCTTCAACTTCCCTCCTTACTCTATGAAATGTTCGTTCCATTTCAGGGTCAAGAGGAAGGAGATTGCTTGCGCTTCTACTCCTCCGCATTCAAGAGAAGAGCATGCGTTAACACAAATAAAGCACACTAAAAATTAAAACTTGAATAAATAATGAATAAAAAATCTTAACTTAACTAAACAATCAATAACTAAGTCCCCCGCAATGGCACTAAAAACTTGTTGGTTCCCCAAGTACACGCAAGTATACGTTATCGTCAAGTAATAAAATGACTCGAAAGTCGGATGTCGAACCCACAGAGACTTAGATTGATCGTTAACTAAGCAAACTAAAATTAATTAATTGTCTAAGCTATTTAAGAGTGACGTTTTTCTATTAATCTACTATTGTAAAAATTAAATAAGTAACAACTAATTTATCAAGAATGCAAATGCGTATGATGAGATTTTTCTTCAGAGGAGATGAAAATTACAGGGTTGAGGTTGGTTTGTCAATCCTATTAAGTTCAATAATCACACTCGTTAATCCAGATTATCTATGGTTGCTAATTAACCGGATCGTTTATATGAATAGCATGTTCCCACAATACTACTCGTCTGCCCATAATATATCAATCCTATATTCCTATGGTATTGAGATCATGAACGAATATAATATGGTATTCAATTAAGCAAGACTGTTAGGTATATTCCTATCCTAACCGCGAAATCATCCCCTGAGCCACAGGTTCAGAAACAAACTCTCTCTAATTCTACTCTAATCTAAACACGGCTTTCCCAAGCATAGCATAGATAGTAGGGTGAATCGGTAGCTATAACAATTCACAAGTGAAAACTAGAATTAAAGAAACAACCACAAGATGATAATCCGAATTAACGAAGATGTAATTAATAAACGTTAATAATCATGTCAATCACAACCCTAGAACGTAGAGTGCTTAGCCACTCATGTTCGTACTAACAATTTTCTAAGTATTTTGTATAAACAAATTACAAAGAAAAGATAAAGGGATGAAGAACTCTATGATTTTATCCTCCAAAAATGGTTTCACGTGATGTTCTTGCCCCCGGTCGTAAAACTCCCCTCAAAATGGTATTTAATGACTATTTATATGTGTAAGGAAAAGACCCAAACAAAATAACCAAGTAGGAGACAAAATAGGCTTTAAAAACTCGGAGCACCCTCGCTACAGATCTTGCGGCGCGAGGCAAAACACAAGCTTCACCTCGCTATACACTATGCGACGCCAGCTCTTTCACGAGCTAAGTACCTCACCTCGCAAGCTCAAACTCGAGGATGCAAATGTCGTGTCGCCTGACATATGGCGGCTGAAATCTGACACCTCACTTTGTTTCCAATGATGTTTACGACACTTCTATATTCCTTGCCTTGTTCTTTGATTTAATCAATCTTAGTTCTTGATAGTGCCAATTGCCTAACTCTTTCTTTCCAAGCATTTCATACTACTTTGTCATCTTTCATCCTTACATTAGTAATAATCTTATTGCTTTCTCATAACTTGAAAGATTTCATCTTCGTAAATTGCTTCTTCCCTTATTTTTCTTTACAGGTATTTGTCTTTTTGCCTTCTGTACTGCAATATTTAACATATTTGCTTCAACGTTTATCTCCAAAGTACCTACAGATAAAATAAACACAATTAAGCACAAATATAATATAATATAGAATTAAAGCACCTAAATTTAAGATAAGTAATGCACTAAAAGTATGAAATTATAGCCAAACATCACTCAAAGAGTGTTAAAACATAATTTTTTGATGGAGAATATCGTGAAAAAATAACATACAGATGATACTTTTCTAATAAGTATGCTCTGTTAGAGGAGTGCGCAGCGGAAATAAAGATCGGACATACTTCTGTTGTTGCGAAGTCAATGTCGAAATCGGCGTTGGTATTTCCTACTCCGACGAGTCTTTTCCGGTTAGTCTTCTAAGCAGTCAAAACCACACTCTTTAAATGGTATAGTGATTAACAGAAGATTTATCTTTGGGACCCAACCAGATATGTCATATATATATATGTTCTTCCATCAAGAACAATATTGAAACAGTCACATAAATGGGCAGAAATTTCTTCACAACTTGGGCAGTTTCATAAATTGAAGAAGGGAGTTTCAACTGGTCCAAATTAAATGGACCACCTTCTAAAACGTTCAATGTAAAAGAACGTTTCCTACATTCTCCCACTTTGTCCATGAATAAGAGGCCCAAAATATATTTTAGCGAGAATCATAATACATTAATCATGGCGATAGTTTCTCTACAAGTGAGTAGTATCTCCCATGTATCACGATGCATTATGCCTCTAAACTTTAGCCCATATTTCATAATGAATAAAACCCAATGTTTATTCTAGGTCCATACTTTAGTGATATTTCTCAAAATAATTAAATATGTACACACTAACAATATGAGAAATTTTATACAATAATAGAGTTTCATAAATATCATCGTTACAAAGAAATTTACATAGTGGAACCAAGTCCCATCGTAACTACATGATATTTAAATTTTGTGGTGGCATGACTTTAGTTAAAGGATAAACTAACATCAATTCAGTGCTAATGTGCTCAATGGCCATTTTTGTTTTATCTTTAACACTTTCACTTATGGCTAGAAACTTAATGTCGATATGTTTGCTTCGACTCCCACTTTTGTTATTCTTAGCCATAAAGACAGCAACTGAATTGTCACAATATATTCTCAATGGCCTAGAGATCGAATCGACAATTCTAATCCCAGAAATAAAACTCTTCAATTATACACCATGTGAGGTAGCCTCAAAATAAGAAACGAACTCAGCTTCCATACTGGAAGTAGCAGTCAGAGTCGTTTTGGCACTCTTCCAAGATATAGCTCCACCGGCCAACATAAAAATGTATCTTGATGTTGATTTGCGTGAATCAATGCAGCCAACAAAGTTTGAATCGGAGTAGACAATTACCTCGAAATTATCTAATCGATTATACATAAGCATGTAGTCTTTTGTCCCTTGAAGGTATCTTAACACTTTCTTTGCAACTCTCAAGTGGTCAATAGTTGGATTATTCTGATATCTTCCCAACATTCCAACAACAAACGCAATATCAGGTCTAGTACAAACACGAGCATACATTAATCTTCTAACAACATAAGCATATGGAATGTTCTTCATTTGTTCCCCCTCAAAATCGTTCTTCGGGCACTGGTTCAAATTGAACTTGTCACCCTTCACTATGGGAGCTACACCAATGAACAATCCTTCATCCGAAACCTCTCTAAAACTTTGTGGATATAGGTATATTGAGATAAACCTAAAATACCTTGATGTCTATCTCGATGAATCTTAATGCCAATGACATAAGATGCATTACCCATATCTTTCATATCAAAATTTTGAGAGAGAAATTATTTCACCTCATATAGCATTCCTTTATCATTGGCTACAAGAAGAATATCATCCACATATAGAATTAAAAAATAAATTTTACTCCTACTGATCTTCTGGTATATACATTGATCCATAATTTTCTCAACAAAGTCAAATGAAGAGATAACATCAGGAACTTTTAAATACCACTGACGGGAGGCTTGTTTCAATCCATATATGGATTTCTTTAGCTTGCACACCAAGTGCTCACCAATACTAAAGGAGAATCCTTCCCGTTGTTTTATATAAACCTCTTCCTCTTGAACATCATTAAGAAATACGGTTTTCACATCCATTTGTTGCAATTCTAAGTCAAAATGACTATTAATTCCAATATGATGCGCAAGGAATCTTTCTTAACAGGAGAAAAAATCTATGTATAATCGATTCCTTCATATTGAGTGAATCCTTTAGCAATGAGTCTTGCTTTATATCGTTCTATGTTGCCCAATGAGTCTCTTTTAGTTTTAAAGACCCATTTACATCCCATGACTTTACACCATCAGGTAACTTGACAAGATCCCATACCTCATTACTCTTCATAGAGTTCATCTTTTCTTTCATGGCATTGTATCATAGGTCTGATTCTTTACAACTCATAGCTTGTGAAAAAGACTTAGGATCATTTTTGGCCTCAATGTCAGATTCCTGTAGATATACAACATAGTCACTAGAAATTGCTGATGTTCTTTCTCTAATAGATCTTCTTAATGTTATATCAACATTTTCCTAAGGGTTATGTTGCTCAACTGATTGTTCAATAGTTTCAGAATTTTCTTGAACAACTTGATCTACTAGAATATTCTCATCAGCTTATGGAACCTCAATGATTGGTTGCCCAACACCCATTTGTACTTTAGGAGTGTTGTGCATAATAACCAGTCTTTCACTTGAAGAGGAAGGTTGATTATTTACAGATACTATATTCTGAAATTGATCACTCCCACTGATCAAGTCATTCTCAAGAAATTTTGCAATTCTTGATTCCACAATTGTAGTGCTGTGAGATGGATAATAAAATCTATATCCTTTAGACCTTTCGGAATATCTAATGAAATACCCACTAATGGTCCTCAGATCTTATTTCTTTTCTTGTGGGTTGTATGAAGGATTGTATATAGATGTTCGTACATGCAGCGGAAGACAATAACAATCCTAGGCAGAATGCTTCGTGTTTAAAATTTATTTACATGTCAAAGAATGGATTAAGACGTACCTGAGGAGGAGAGTCTCGTTTCAAAAATTTCTTCGATAGTGAGAAAACTCTATGCGTATCCACACCGAGACGGATCCTTGATATCAACTCTTTGATCAATGAAACCCGTGAACAAATTGAATAAAATTGTGTGCTCGAATGTTTCACAAAAGTTTCAGCGAATAAGAACAAAGAAAACTATTTTCTGGTCAAAATAATCTCTTGGATTCATACGGCTGGCAAAAAACCCTTTCTTTTTTCCACCATCCTTCGTCACATATATACTAACTAGTTTCGAGACACGTGTGTCCCATACAAGTTATACAT